CGGGGAAGTGGAGATCAGTTTTGCTTGATGGCACAGGCATAGATCTTGTGTTGCCAAGGCCAGCCTGGTACCAAGAACCTAAGATCCAAGTGGAAGTTCTGTGTTGGTGGTGCTGGAGAGGAAGGGGTGGGGCCTTTGGTTTTCACGAGATTTTAGTGCCATTTAGCCAACAATGAGTGACTAACAGGGCAAATATTCCCTCAGCCTATTATGTTCCCTTTCTTAAATGTTTGTGGATATGGAAGCTGGCACGGGCCTGTTCACAAGTTGTTGAAAATCTGCCGTTGAGGATTGGTTTGTAATTTTTTTTTCAATGAGGGCATCCAATCTATCTCTCTACTGGAAAGTTACATGAGATTTGGAAGTTCAAATGCCAATGATGTTTACATTTCTCAGTTAAAAAGCCAATATTTCTTCCTCTGCTCCTAAACTCTATGAATGGAAAAAGCTATTTTAGTTCATAGCATATTCTTTCCATTAAGATTTTAAACTTCGGCAGTACTGCCAAGACTCATCTGTTGAATGAGTTTTTCATAAATGTTATCTACCAGACATGGGTGCAAAGTGGCATTTTTATGAAGTTGAAGCAAAAGTGATTATATGACCAGAGAAAGCATTCATTTCCATCCCCTCCTCCGATCAGTCTCAAATGAAGAGAGGCCATGTTGGCTACAGTTACAATTGTATGAATAATTTTTAATAAAATCAGTAGCTAAAAATTGTTGAATTTTCAAGACACACTGGAAACCTTCTTACATATAGCTATGCTGTGTACATTCTTGGCTAAGAATGAATTTTTATTTCGATGTGGGAAATCTATTTGTTCAAGCCAAGCACCACTTAAATTTCCATAGGCAGATTATCTGCTGGATGAATTAGCCCAAGAAATTAAAAATAAAAATTCCTAAACTGCCTTTTGCTCAACTGCCCAGAATGTTCCCCTTGATTACATCCTGCCTGTCTGATAGCTTGAATTCACGGAACAGAAAAATCATTTTAATAGCCTGCAAAGTACAGAAATGGGGCATTCTTTCCAAAGCATATGATTTATTCCAAGCCAAATGCAAATTGATTTCTCATTGCTTTCCTCCTGTGACTTATCTATAGCACCATCTTCCTTCATTAGCCTAGAAAATCAAGAACTAACCAGAAAAGCAAAATGCTGGAGAAGCACCTTTGCACCTTAGATGCTGGGATGGTCTCAAACCCAACCACCTTCCTTTTGGATTTACAGCATCATGCCACTTTATTATTCTACCATAGGTACCTCTTTTCTTCAGCGGGTTGACAAGATGTCTGTGGTATACTTGGCAAATGGAGGCTCCTCCAGGGCAGTAATAGTCCTCATAATGCTCAGTAATAGCCCTCACAATGCCTCAGATATAGTTGAATGTTAATCGAATTGAAGAATACACTAAGGTTGTTCCCACGATTTTTTCTAGCTTATTACAGGCATTGAAATAGTTTAGCTAAATGAAACAGTCTCTTTTACAATGAAGGTTTCAATATCTTAGCATGAGGTGTCCCCATCTGCCCCACACTGAACTCCCTAGTGTCCATCAAGATAAATATACTGGGAATAGTATCACTTCTCTTTTTAAGAGAACTATTACTAATTTGGGTCACCTCTGTTTGCATGGGCATTCATAGATAATAGAATCAAACCTTCCAACTCAGGGTAGGATGATTCATTCTGCTTCTATAACACTGTAGTGGAGACAGGACTATAACTGGTGGAGAAAGTATAAAAAACAAATGCATGGAAATTCAAGAGTCTATCAAATACTCTAACTTCCATCAGCTACTTAAATCTTCTATTATCTGTGATAAATGGCAATGTTTTTTTGCCAAGTACCCTTGAAAAGGCACAGGCTAATAGAAAGCTAATCTGTAATAGGCAACAGGGAGCTTAAGGTACTGCCTCAGTAGGCTACCTATCTGGAGCTTCCCAGGGAGATCTTTTGTCTTACATTTTTAAAGGCCTTTTCTCAATTTATCCGTATCCACAAGGGACAATGGAAATTGAGATAACAGCCAATAACAGTTGCTTTCTTTTCCTCCTCAAAGAAGTGTCCTGAGTTTTCATTTTGACAGCTTAATGTAGAAACTCCATCATTTAAAGGGTAAAGAAGTTGAAGACACTATTCAGGGAGTTCCTGGTCTACTAGCAAATCATACGTGTGAGTTCAGTGATTCCCAGATTGAATAGGCCAATCAGTAGATTCTCTGTGCCAAAAAGGTCAGTTTGCAGGCAGTTTGCACAAAATGGGAGAATGCCAACAGAGAGATACGACTGGGTTTTCTGTTGGAATGCCATAAACACCAAACTTGAAGAAGGTCAAAAGTCATGGCACATATGTTTTCCATAGATGACATTTGTTTTGGAACGCACACCTAGGTTCAACCAAAGCAGCTCCCAAACCAGACTATATGGAAGCTACTAAAGGTCAGTCACAGGTAACCTGGCATTTAAAAAGCAAGGTGGGGGACTAGAATATAATGACTCCTATTCTTAATGATACTTGTGGCTTTTCTGGGCAGATCTGCCACGTCTCCCTGAAGGTTATGTCCAGGCAATTAGATGCTAGATGGGAACTTTCAAACAAGTCTGGGAAATTGCCAATCTAATAATTTATGGTTAAAGAAAATGGTAGCCTCTCTCTCTCTCTCTCTCATCATTTAGATCTATACTTGAATGGACTGTAGTCATAGCTAGAAGCATTGAAATTAAATATGTATTGAGTACCAGCACTGTGAAAGGAGATTTGGGAACACAGTTTCATTTAATATTCATGGCAACTGTATGATTTGCATTTTTCAGATGGGCAAATCATGGCTCAAAGAGGATAAGAAACTTATGCACAAGTGCCTAATCTCACTAATGATTAAGCAGATATCTGAACTCAATCTCAGTGTCTCAATTCTTGAAATGCTAAGATAGTAGATCTCTATCTTGAGGATATATAAGAATCAGCTGGGGCTGGGGAGAGGGGGAAGGGGATCAAAATGATTGAGGTGAAGTCCAAGGATCTGCAGGTGTAATGTTCTCCCCTAGGATTTTGCAAGCAGGTTGGTGGTAGACTACACTTGAAGAAACACCGCTATGCTCTACGGCTTGTGGAGGTATCTTAATGAGGTTTTGGAGTTCATGAAAATGAATTATTAAGAACTGGCTAGGGCCATCTATTTAGGTAAATCTACATCATAAACATATGACTGCCCTTCTTAAATCCACCCATTTCAAAGGATGATTTCCTTGGGTCTTAAAATCTAACAACATAGGCCTTAAGGTAGTAAAGTTGCAAAATAGCACAACTTTTAACATTTTCTTTCCAAAGTTATTGAAAATATTAAGATAAAAGAAAGATGCCTAAAACAGACTTTGGTAAAGCCAGCCAAGAAATGAAGGTATTAACAGTTTAATATATTTTGGAATGGGGAAGGGAGGAAAGGGGGTACCAAGCGGGAGGATTGCATTTGATGCCTGTTTAATTTTAACTTTGCTTTATGTATCCCTGATTTGTTACCAACTGCTTTCGTGATTTCTGCAATTGGTCTCCAGTGGCCAAATCTGACCTGATTCCCTCTCCATCCCAACCCCCACCCCCTTGTTTTAAATGAGATCTGGTTTTACTTAGATGAATTAAATGTCACTATATTTGTTTCTGTGAATTGTTCCAGCAAAAATTACAGCATCAATGTCTGACTTTAAACGTCTGTAGGACTGTCTGCCTCTCTGGGTTATTTATAGTTGCCTTTTAAAGGCCCTAATAAATGCTTTTAGATTGCTATTGGTTTGCTTTCCCTTTGTGGAGCCTCAGAATTGGTTCCAACTGAAATTACCTGCTTTTCTCTCTTTGCTAAAGCAATGCATGTTCACTGTAAAATATAAATAAGAAAAGAGAAGAAAAAGGAAGAGCAAAAAATCATCATACCAGACAGAGAGGGCCACAATTAACATTTTGTTGCACAGCATTCTCTTATACAAATATATATATATATGTATGTATATATGTATATACATACATATATATATATATAGTACAAGTTGTTTTACAGCTCCTCTTTTTTTTTGTTTTTAGCCCTGTTTTATTTTTTCCACCGGATGATATGTTTCACAATGTTTCTCATTCTACTCCATCACTTTTAATGGCTATATTAAAAGTACCGAGTAATATTATGATTGTACCATTATCTATGAAACAATCCCACATTTATTAGATGGCTAGGCCAGGGCCAAAATTTGCTATTACAAATAGTTGTACAAATTAGCCATGTCGCTATGCTCATCCATGATCATTTCTTTAGGATAAACTGACACAAATGGAGTTGCTGGATCAGAGGCTGTTGCAAACGCCTAGACTATTGTCATGTCATGCCATCTTCCCTCCAGAAACAGCTCAAATTAAGTAGTATAATATATATTATATTTGAACATATCTTTAAAATGACGATATAGTTACATGCATCAGTGTTGGGAGAACCACACTTCTAATAATGCAATTGTTGCTTTAATAAACTTTACGAAATACTTGTTAGTGCCAGGCTCATTTTTTTTTTCCAACTCCAGATTTCCGGAGTTCTGCAGCACAATTACGGGCATTATCATAGTGAAATCTGCAGTCCTAGGGAAGCTGCTAGCCTGAAGTAAACAGTAGGATATATATATATTTTTTAACCATGTGTGAACTGGCAGCTAGGATAGAGGAGAAGCAAGGTAAATGGAAGGAACTGAGAGCTGATGTTTGCAGAACCATCAGCATTGACATTTTAACACTTCGAGGAATGCTGATGCTTTTACTAGGACTAAAATCTCCTTAAGGATGTATTAGTTCATTCCTTCAGTGTCTACTTAGTGAGTACCTGCACGTTACGTGTTATTCTGGCTGCTGGAGCTACAGTAGCAAAGAAGTCAAGGGGATCTTTTTTCATGAAGCTTACAACCTATTCCATGGGGCCATCCAGCCAAGAAACAAGTCATCAACCAGTCGCGGCAAGCGTTTTGAAATGAAAATCATGTTTATGATCCAGAAAATAAGGATGTGGGGGAGGATTTTCGTTTACCTCCTCTTCAGACATGGCCTCTCTGAAAAGGTGACATTGAAGAGGAGACTTCAGTGATGAGAAGAAGCCACACAGTCAGAAAAGGAAGCACAAAGGCCCTGAGGCAGGAATGGGCTGGTGCGTTAGGGTGGAATTTAGCAGACTTTTTCTGTAAAGAATCAGATCATAAATATTTTGGCTTTGTGAATCACAGTTTCTGTTGCAACCACTCAAGTCTTAAGTAGCTGCAGACAATTTTATAAATAATGGTCTGAATGTTGTGTTCTAATAAAACTTTACGAAAGTGACCAGTGAGCCAGATTTGGCCCTTAGACTATAATTTTTGGACCTTTGTGTTAGTGAAAGAGAGAGACACAGTTGTGCTAGAGAGTGAACAGTAGGAAGGAGAGTGGTAGGAGGTAATTTCCAAAGGTGAGCAGAGGTCAGAGGTATCTGCTCTGTATACAGTACAGATTATGCAAATTCCTCTAGTTGCAAGGGGAAGACTGGGAAGATGCTGGAGGGTTTTAAGCGGGAGAGTGACATGTTTTGATTTTATTTTTTAAAAGGGTGGATAGAAGTACAACAAGGGCAGAAAGAGAAAATTTCTTAGGGGTCCATTGAAGACATGGGGGCTTCGACTACCAGGAGACATGATTAGATATGAGATCTACTTTGAAGGTGAGCCCACAGGACTTGCTGCTGGTTTATGTGATGGGAGTAAGGGAGAGTGATTAGACCACACTTTTGCATCTGGGAGATATTTTTAAAATGCAAATGAAACTGAATTTTAACTGAATTTTCTCTTTTCAAGGGATGAAAACTATCCCTGGGTAACACAAGCAGAAGAGAATATTATTGGAAAGGTAACAGGTAGCTTATAGCATCAAAGGAAGGGTAAAAAGAGAAAGCAGGGGGCAGGACGAAGTGAAAATCTTATCTTGGGGACTGTCTCCCCAGGAGCTGTGACTTGTGCCCTTCTCTGGAGCCACTTAGATGCTCCGCCACACCAATGACCTCTTGACTCCGTGTAGTTGCCTGGAATAATGGGCTTCGGCATCCTTGCATCATCACTGCCTCAAGAAGCAGTCTTGTTTGTGAAGTTCTGATTGGTCACTCCAAGGTCATGTGACTCTGCACCAGGGGCAGGTGAAGAAACATTCCGGTGGTAAGTGGCTTCTTCCATTTCTACCGCATCATCCCAATCCTAGCCGCCAGCCACCATCCTCTCTTACCTGATCATTGAAATGCCTTCCTGGGTTACTCCCCGCGTCAGCTTTTAAATTTCTCCAACCGATTTTCCACTGGATCGCCAGAGTGGTCTTTTGAAAAACGGAAATGTTATTATGCTGTGCTCTTAGTGAAGGTACTTCAGTTGCTTTTATTGCTCTTGGGAGAAAGACCCAAATCTTAAATTCTGCCGCTAGGTCCCTTATGCTCTGTCTCTAGCTCTCTTTCCAGCTTCCACTCCCGCCCCCCGCCCCGCCTCCCCTGCCTGAATTCAGTTCTTTGGAAAGCATGCCCTATGCATCCTTGAGTCACAGAGCCTTTGCAAATGCTGTTTATCTGCCTGGGAAACTCTTTTTCTCTTTCTTCCTATTTGGTTAACTTGTATTCATTTTACGGATTGTAGCTCAGACAGCCATCTCTCCCAGACTAGATAAAGACCCAGTATTATAAGCTATTGCAAGAAACAGAGGAGAAATATGTATTCAAGTTAAGGGTTAAACAGAGGCTATAAATGGGACAGTTTGCAAGATGCTGGCCATGGTGCTCTTTTATATTATGCCATTCATTCTCTACTAAAAGGTTTTGAGAGAGTCAAACACTGTCCCTGTTTTATTTACTTTTTTAAAAGATTTTATTTATTTGAGAGAGTGAGAGAGAGCGAGAGCGAAAGAGAGAGCGCACCCAAGGGGAAAGGCAGAGGGAGAAGCAGGCTCCCCACTGAGCAGGGAGCCTGATGTGGGGCTCGATCCCAGGACCCGGGGATCCTGACCTGAGCCGAAGGCAGATGCTTAACCGACTGAGCCACCCAGGCACCCTGTCCCTATGTTTTAAATCAATAAAAGGAAGCTGAAAGATATTTGTAAGATGCAGCTGAGATGTGGTAGAACCATGACTAGAATCCAAGTCTTTGATCCCCATACTTTTGTCCTTTAACAACGCTAAGGTAAGATCAGCCATAATATGGAGCATGGACGGGACCCACGGTAGCAGGAGAAGGGTTATTTACATTTCAGGTCAGAGCTCTCCGCTCTGTATGAAAGTAGCAAGAGATGAGTTCGAAGGGTGTTATGTAGACCAGGTAAAACCAGGTTTTTACCTGATCAGGAAAGCCTGATTTCAGTGATAAAAATGCAGATGAGCTCCTGTAATGATAGGTTCTTGTGAGAACCAGGCCTTAAAAAAGCTTAGAACAAAGGGTGCAGCATCCAGACTATACCTGTAAATAGCGAGAGCCTTAACAACTAGATAGTGACTGTGTCTCAAACAAACAAAATAGGACGGTGAACAAGGCCCAAGTTGAGAACATGTTTACCAAAGGGCACAGGCAGGAGCAGTGAAGAGCATGCTCTCGCTTGAAGGTCAAGTCCTTCACCAAACGCTCTCTGATCACCCTGGCCAAAAGGCAACCTCCCTCCTTGCTCCAGCCATTCTCCGCGTTAATGTTTCATTTTGACAGCCCTCAAAGGCACATTCCACAGAAGCAAGACTTTTACTAATTCCTAAAGTGGGTGGTCCTGGCACACAGTAGGAGCTCAATTAAAAAAAAAAAAAAAGACAAAACAAAAGAATGAAGACAGCAACAAATTCCCCCTGGAGAGTTTTAGAGATCGCTGGGGAACCTTCTGCACCAAGAGGAAATTGAACTGTGGTCTTTAAAAAGACATAAGATCTCGTGATATCCAGCTTCTGTGACCAACCCAGATACAGCGCAAAATAAGTTCTGAGCAACTCAGGCTGGTATGCACTCAAGACAGGGATGGGCTGATTATCACGATAAGAACAAGAGAAACCTTCAGAACCACCTTCGTAAAACATGCCCATACCACTTAAGACAAAGAATAAACATGATAACCACCCTGTGAATTTCTTTAACCTGTTAACTTTGCCAAGCTTGTCAGGCTTGTTCCCTTTAGCTTGGTTGTTCAGAGGAAATAGCAATCCAATTTTTTTTAAGCAATACAGTTTTAAAACTGAGTTGAAAGCATGTGTATGCATGTATATGCGAGTGTGTGTGTGTGTGTGCGTGCGTGTGTGTTGAGGACAAGGAATAGGGGATTTCCCATTTGGTGACAGTTGTGAAAAGGAAAGCTAAATGATCCGGTCCCTGGAGCTTTGGGGAGCTAGTGGAAAGACAGAGAGAATTGGGCCACGTGGCTTAGTGGTGGGAAACAGAGGTACCATCCCTGAGCTTAAGTAGAAATATCTACCGGGAGCCACACTGTCGGCCCTTCTGTCATGGAAGTGGAAAGCTCTTTGACAGGGTTCAAGCAGATGCTCTGATATTTTTACAGCGGGGGAAACTGAGCCCTTGTAGGATTCAGACTCACGCAACAATTACTGAGTAATTACTATGAGCGTGGCCCAGTGAAAGATGTCTTCCCAGTCCTTATCTCACTCAGACTCACAATCACTCAGTAACATAGGTATTCGTATCCCTGTATCATGCATGAGGACACTGAGGTTCAGAGAAAAGTTACTTTCCTAAGCCACTCAGGATGTTGGGGATAGACCTGGAGCTGGAATCTGCCTCCCGATTCATGATTTCTCTGCAAGACCAAAACACATTTTATTTCAGACTATTGCTTATTAAGGTAATTTGTTTTTAAGGGAGGATAATTCGGATTTATAATTCTTCTTATTTTGGTATGAGCTTGATATCCAGAAAATGGAGAAACATAATCCCAGCCTCTATTTTTTTCCTACTTTTTTATAAAACACAGCATCATTTGGGATGCAGCAAGATTTATGATCAGGATGTAGATATTACTTACTCAAGAAAAATATGGACTAGAAAGAGGCTCTCCAGATAAAGTTACTAGCAATGTTGTAACACCAGACTTCTGCTTCTCCCTCCCAGCTCTGGATTCAGTTCAGTTGTTTGCTCATCGTATAGTAGAGAGCCCCTTTCCTATCATAAATTGGCTCAAAACTTCTCATTTTTTTTTTTTTAATTAGAGAGAGAGCGGGAGGGGCAAGGGGAGAGGGAGAGAGAAAATCTTAAGCAGGTTCCATGCCCAGCTTGGAGCCTGATGTGGGGCTCAATCTCACAACCCAGAGATCAGGACCTGAGCTAAAATCAAGAGTCAGACACTTAACCCACTGAGCCACCCAGGCGCCCCAGCACAAAACTTTCTTAAACTGATTCAGGAGAAATTGTAGAGTTGTATCAGGAAAGAGGCAAAATTCCTTGTCACTGAGAATTTGGACCAGGGTTGGAGGCTACGGTTGGGAGGGAGAAGAGAAGGGAGAGGTCAAAGGCAATAGCTTAACCGGAGACCTGCTTTGACCAGCTGAGAAGAAACACGAGAATGCCATAGAATGTCAACAAAGGAGACTTTGTTTGACATTCGGGAGACAGGGACTACTTGGAGAAGCCTGGGCAGCATCTAGTGGGTTCTCAGTGGCTGAATGAAGAGCTCCACCTAACTGTGTCTGAATGTCTTCTGAGGATTTCAGGCAACACAAGGCTCTGTAATTCCGAGGCAACAAGTTGTGGGACAGGTTTTGAGCAAAATAACCCCAGCTTGTTTGGGTTCTGTCCTATCCCATTAACACCCCTCTTTCTTTCCTCCTTAGCATCCAGGGCGCACCCACAAGGACCATCTGACTACACCTTCTCTCACTACCCGCCTGCCACCCCTGCTCTGGCCCCTCCATGCACCACAGAGAGGCACCCAGGCCAGTCTCCAAAGACAATGACCTGCACACAGAATCTAGGCCACCCTTTGTACTCTCTGCCTCTTCCTCTCTCGTGTGTCTACTAAAATTTATCTCATCGCATAGTCGCCAGGAAAGTAACTTGATTACCGGTGACTTCATGTTAAGTCATGGACATGCTAAAGACGGTACTTGTTAATATCACAGGCCACGGGCATTAATAATTGAATTTCACCAAAGATATTTAGAGCATTGTTTGTGGTGTGTCTCAAATTACAAAAAGCCAATTCGAATCACTATTAATATATTTAAAGTAAGCAGATGCTAGAGACAAGATCGAATTTTATTTTTGAAGCTGACATGGGATTCCAAAGTTTTAACCATTACGTTGTACTTTCAACATGCTAATGAAAAGTTTTAGTTGAAGAACCACCTGCAAGGGTAGTCTGCTTGGTAAAGAGCTGAATTTGAGAGGATATAGCAAAATGACAGAGGGATTGCTTCACAATGGATGAGTCTGACTGAGGCACTTCTATGCATTAAGAAATGGGGACAGATATTCGGGGTGGTCACTCGTTTTGCTGAAAATATTCCATCCTGTGTGTAGCCCATTTGAAACATGCTAAATCAGTAAAGGTTTCTCCTTGAATTCATACAACTATCTAGAACACTGAGGACTAAAAGCAGGTCCCACTAGTGCAAGTGGATTAAGAAGCTTTTTTTTTTTTTTTTAAATGTCTGAACTTAATACAGTGAGTAGCATCTGTCAGAATTGGGTCTGCTGACCCCTCGAACTTTCTCTCTCTGCGTCGTCTCCGTGGGGTGGAGTAAACTGTAATGACTTTGATGGCATTCTCGGGAAACGACCCACCATCCCGACCCTGCCTTGCCTCTCACTCTAGCCACCTCTATATTAGAATTCCATGTCATGACAAAGAAATCGGTCTCTTTTTTGCCTTTGTCATTAACCACCTGGCAAAATACTTTGAAGCTGGTACAAAGTGGGACTGCAGATTCTGCATTTCCTGATTCAGCACTTTATATTCCATAATTTTGTCATTGCAGTGCTCAGATTCCCATTTTTAATAAAAAAAGGAATTTTGCCCCCAATGAAGTAGCCACCATCAGTTTCTAGAGAGCAAGGAGAACAACATGCAAAAAGAAATAGAGAAGTAGGAAGGTTGCAAATGCATTTTTGTGATGGAATGGAAGGTGACAAGATGGTTATGAAAGCACGGAGATGCTTTGAAAGCCAGGTTTTAATCCTGAGTAACACCACTGTTACACAAAGAATGTCCACTCAATCGACAAGTCTTTTCCTCTATTATTTAATAGCAAACAAGGGAAAAAGTGTTCAAATGAATACAACGTATGAAACAAGATATTAATAAATAGTTTGTCTAGTCGTTTTGACAAAAGAGGGCCCATAAAATTCTTTGCTCATTGGGTAATCTGAGAAATGGTTAAGACTCACTACAATTAGTTTGGTTATAATCTGGCATTTAGCTTAAAGACAATCATCTTTTGGAAAATGTATCATTTACGTGGTTGGAGAATCAAAGAATAGATGAATCAAGGGTCTGCCACCTGAACAGAATCTGAAAGTTTTTCTCTGGTTAAGCTGAAATGAATGAATGACCAATTCAACATGGTGGGCCATGGTGGGGAATACAGGGCATGGTGGGCTTAGGACAGAATTCTCACAGAATTCTCATGATTACACTATTCAGAAGTAAACTTTCCACATTCTCAAATTTGCTCAGTTACAGCTTATATTAATTGAAAATTCATTCCCCAATTAGCATACCATTGAAGGTGTTTTTAAAATGACTTGTTTATAACCGTTGTTGGCACCGCTGGAATTCACACTTCATGCCATTTCAAATAAAAACCTTTCTTTTTTCTTTTGGCAGCAGAAAAGAGCAGAGTCACACAGTAGCTCTTGATTTATGAACTGTGCTTTCTTATTCTCAGACTCTCACAGTGTGTGCCGTTCCCTTTAAGGAACGTGATTGGAAGCATTTAACAGGGAAACAATTCTATCTCCACATCTACTTTTTTTAATTTGAAGTCATATGGACCTTGGATTATAACAGGTCCCATTCTCATGCCTACAACAATCAGGTAAGAGAATGAAGACCCAGAAAACTTGAGCAGCTTCTTGTGTTTGTCAAGCGTCATTCAATGACAAATGGGACAGGAACCTACAAGAATGATGTATGTTGTGGGCAAAATTTGTGGAAACATTTTACATTCAACATTCCGGTAAGCATTTTGTCAGCCCTGGGTCACATCCTGAAATTATACAACCGTCTCCCCCAAAACCCGGTTGAGGACAAAAGAGGGAATGTAACTACTCAAAGCAAATCTGGAGGACGAGTGGGCAGAGTGGCTGGGGGTGCGTGGATGGACAGAAAGAAACTCGTACACGCCTTACAGCATTTTCTGGCTGAAAGCAGAGTTCATCCTTGCAGTGGTCCACCGAACAAAGTGTTTATTGTGAAGTGGGCTTGATCCCTGGAGAAGAAGAAAAGTGATTCCTATTGACTGGAAGGAAATTAACTCTTTCCTCCCTTTTTCAGGGAAGGTGTTGGATAAGTACTTTGTGATTAATTTCCTTGGTCGGTTTCAAGGGGGGGTGGGTCTCAATGTCAGCAACAGTACTGACTCTTAACTGTAGTTTCTTTGCAGCGCTGGCTAGATTTTCTAGTGGGAAGTCTTTTCTCCCCTTACCCTCCCTTCCCTCATCTAGCACAGGTAGGTTATGTGGAAAGCATATTCTAATAATTACTAAACCATTACATTGGGCTGCAGTGACTTTTTTTTTTGCATAGAAGTAACTAAAGACCATTTAACACTGAATTTTTAAAACTTACTTTCAGACTTGAGCTGGGAAAACCACTGGCCAATTCCAAGGATGATAAAAGCAATAGGAACTGTATGTTCTGCCTTGGTCTTTTAAAAATCGAATTTGGAGGGGGAATAACGATTTTGCCTACAGATGGCCGTGAAAGCATCAGGAATATGCTGCAGAGCTGGAGAGCAGAGTCCAATTGTAGTATGCTCCCTTTAAGAGGGAAACAAGATTAGAACTTTGGCAAATTTTCGGCTTCTATTCAGAGGGAAAGAGAAGAGATGGCAGTGCCCAAAAAAAAAAAAAAAAAAAAAAAAGAAAGAAAGAAAGAAAAAGGATGGTTGTCCTGAGACAAGAGCAAAAGCAATTTTATACCTATTGAAAGCTTACCTGGGCGTGGTTTTAACTCCCCTGGGATTAAGAACATTTTTTTGCCCTCTTAAAACTAAAGGAGCTAGTGGAAAGGACTTGAACCAGAAAGTGTCGCGGTCAGTTCTGTTCTGTCCTGGGAAATACACAAGGAAGAGAAACCTCGGGGGAAGAGAGAGAGGACGCGTCAAGGGCCGAAGGGGAGGGTCTGTGGCAACCTATGTAAGTTACATGTCAGGATGAAGGTAGTGACGCTTCCTAGCATCCTTCTTAGAAAAACCATCTGACTTCAACAGTTAGAAGGCTTATAACCCTGCTAGACAAATATCTGAATTCTATTTTGCCTTTCTACATTAAAGATTGCTTTGTGTTCTAAGCGCAGAAGAGTCTATAAAATTAAGACTTTTGTTTATATCAGGTCAGAAAAGGTAGTGAGGCTTCATTTGGGATAATCATAGTGTTTACCCAAGCCTTTTGCATAGATAAAAATGTTATTTTCTCTAATTGCATATTTTGTTCCTATAATGACTGAGTTGAATTCTAAACTGAAATGAGTAATCAATACTGAATGTCTCTGTCGTTCAAATGAAGTCTTCGCCATTTCAGATGGCGTAAAATTGCTTCAAATTTGGCAAATTGCTATAAAGATGGAAATTAAAAGCTAAAGCATACTTAATTTTCTTTTTTTTCAGGTTTTAACTGAAAACTTAAATCAACAAATAGCCACAGAACTGTTACTAGTACAAAATCACCTGGATGCCTGAAGGACAGAAGAAAGAATGAGCTATTACGGCAGCAGCTCTCCGATTGTAAACGTGAACCCCAAATACCCGGGCTATCCTCCAGAGCACATCCTAGCTGAGAAGAGAAGAGCCAGAAGACGTCTGCTCCACAAAGATGGTAGCTGCAATGTGTACTTCAAGCACATTTTTGGAGAATGGGGGAGTTATGTGGTTGACATTTTCACTACTCTTGTAGATACCAAGTGGCGCCATATGTTTGTGATATTTTCTTTATCTTATATTCTCTCTTGGTTGATATTTGGCTCTATCTTTTGGCTAATTGCCTTTCATCATGGCGATCTGTTAAATGATCCAGACATCACGCCTTGTGTTGACAACGTCCATTCCTTTACAGGGGCGTTTTTATTCTCCCTTGAGACCCAGACAACCATAGGTTATGGTTACCGCTGTGTCACTGAAGAATGCTCCGTGGCAGTGCTCATGGTGATCCTTCAGTCCATCCTGAGCTGCATCATAAACACCTTCATCATTGGAGCTGCCTTGGCCAAAATGGCAACCGCTCGAAAGAGAGCTCAAACCATTCGGTTTAGCTATTTTGCCCTCATAGGCATGAGAGATGGGAAGCTTTGCCTCATGTGGCGCATTGGTGATTTCCGGCCAAACCATGTGGTAGAAGGCACAGTGAGAGCCCAACTTCTCCGCTACGCTGAAGACAGTGAAGGGCGGATGACGATGGCATTTAAAGACCTAAAGTTGGTCAACGACCAGATCATCCTTGTCACACCAGTAACTATTGTTCATGAAATTGACCACGAGAGCCCTCTGTATGCCCTTGACCGAAAAGCAGTGGCCAAAGATAACTTTGAGATTTTGGTGACATTTATCTATACTGGTGATTCCACGGGCACTTCTCACCAATCCAGAAGTTCCTATGTTCCCCGAGAAATTCTCTGGGGCCATAGGTTTAATGATGTCCTGGAAGTTAAGAGAAAGTACTACAAAGTGAACTGCTTACAGTTTGAGGGGAGTGTTGAGGTATACGCTCCCTTTTGCAGTGCCAAACAACTGGACTGGAAAGACCAGCAGCTCCACAACACGGACAAAGCCCCTCCAGTCCGAGGATCTGGCACGTCAGACACCACGGTCAGAAGAAGGTCGTTTAGTGCGGTTGCCATTGTCAGCAGCTGTGAAAACCCAGAGGAGACCACCACCTCCACCACGGACGAGTGTAAGGAAGCCCCTTATCAGAAAGCTGTCTTGACTTTAAATAGAATCTCTGTAGAATCCCAAATGTAGTTCAAATTGTGATGACCAGGGTTACCCCGCAATCATTTTACTCTGTAGCCAGTCACCTTAAGGCAAGTAGTTATAAGCAGGGCTTTTAAGGAATGGTATAGCTGCATTCGATGGTGATAGGGGAGAAGAAGAGCAGGTTAAATCTGGTAAAAGATCATCTAAAAATTACATAGTATCCAATTGTGTAAACTTTTATTTATTTATTTTTTTTTGTGCTAGCAAATTTGGTATTAGGGATGCTATTAAGAGCCTAACTGATTAATTTAAATTTCATCTCCTTGCCTTATATCACACACTTGCATCTTCAATTGGAGGTGTCATATTCAGTGATGGAGAACAAAGGTAGGATACTGACATAAATAAAAATAGGAAGACAGGCAGCCAGCATGAGTAACAAATTTTTTAATGTATCTACATTGATAGTAGTTTCCTAGGAAAACATTATGTCATCTAACCAAGATATGCAAGATATGCATGCAGTAGATTATAACATTGAGATATTTAACTGAAATCACCTGGGAGGTTTGATGTCTGCCCCTCATAGTCTCTTGGTATCAGCAGAAAGAGGTAGAGACTGTAAGAAATAGACACCCTGACACTTGCGCAGGTAAGGATCAACGAACGCTAGGAGCTGTATTTTGTTTTTTCTAACGCATAAGGCAGAAGAAAAGTTGATGTTATTCAGAACAGTATTTCTCTCTCAAATGCCCTGGGTGACTGCAGCAAATGGCTTTATATGGAAGAGCAGAAATAAGGCAACAATGACATTTCTAGTATCTCCAGCAAGGGGGCTTCCTCTGCCCACCCCCCATCTTCTCCAAAGACAACATGAAGAAATTGGATCACAGAGATGGGATGAAGGAATAGATGGCAGTGGGAAACATTCTCAGACCGTTGGAGTGAAAACCCGTGCTCTGTCCTGAAAGACTGCAGCAGCTTTTGCCGGCTTATGTAAGGGATGGAACCGGTTTTTGTTTTGTTTTGTTTTGTTTTGTTTTGAGGAGGGGGAGGCGTGGGGGGACAGCAAGGGGAAAGACATTTATTTGTGTCCACAAGCAGTTATGTATGTTTCCTGTCTTGGTCACTTTACAAGACATAAATGACTTGAATTCTAGATTTTCAGCAACTCTCCCTTTGAACTTGGAATGATCATTTAAATGGATTTTGTGAAATATAAGGTGAATTTTATTCACATTATTAAACAGATAAGTGTTATGGAATTGCTTAAATTTTAGGAAATAAATTTGTATGCTCTATTTCTGCGTTAAAAGATAAAAGATCATGATTACTTTAAGCCCAATTCCCTATGAGTAAAGGTACTTTCAGCTTTATAAATTGAACAATTATTAGCTTCATTCAGAATTATGTGTTTCTTTACTCATTACGTATATGCCACAGTTTTTCCTTTGTTTATTTTATTTAAATGCATGTACACACAAATCGTTTTTGCTGTTTCTGGAAAAGCTCCCCACCCCCATTTAAATTAAAGCTTACAAGTAAATTGAACTGAATCATACAGGCTGCGATTACCAATCAAAGTAAAATATGTAGGTATGTAAAGTGTTTTTCTTTTTTTTTTTTCCCTTCCTTCCTTTCCTTGTTTCTTTTGACCATGAGCAGTGAGGTTACTTTTTTAAATGCACGTGTGCAAATCTTTTATTCCTGTTGTTTTATGGATAAGAGATTTGTTCAGGTCCCAGGTTGTAAAACTGTCTTGAAGCTTAATATCGGGGATCTGAAGAATGCAATTATTTTTCTGTCTGGCTTCAGAAATGCAAAACCCTTTTTTAAAATTACACATGCATTGTAGATTTGTAGTGGCAATTACTCAGCTAAATTAGAGTACCACAATCTACCAAGTAGAAATCAACCAGCACTACAACAAATCCAGATGCTCTCCCCCCGACTTTCTAAGTTTGTTTCACACACATCTAGTTTCATTTCACTTAGCTTTGCTTCCTGGACTCTGTCAATCCATGATTCTGGTTTTGTTAGTTAATATCAGAATAGAAGTGTCAACGTCCAATAATTACATTTCCCTGTGCTATGTGTTCCCACCAGCAAATCCTCTTACCCTGAGTAGAATGTAAAAGCCGTGTTCCCATGTCACATTTATTTCTAATTTTCTGTTTAGATTTATAACATACTTTGACACCCCCGATGAGTTAATAATAAAGATCTTAAAGTAATGCAGAAATTGTGTGCATTTGCCTATATTTCAGTTTAGTGTAAACTCTTGTCGACGTGCTCAGCACTGGGTACAGGGCACGCAAAAATGAGACTGCTGCCTCACAGAATTAGAACGTAGGCAGAATTATAAAGTGTTTTTATGGGTTTTTAACAGCTTGTAGAACAGCTAGATCTGAATTAACAGTTTTACTTCTGCAAGCTCTGCAAGAAGGCTCCCCGCAAAACGGCATTTCTAGTTTCAAACGCTCAGTCCATGATGAGAAGGAGGCCGAATATTTCTTTTCTTTCTGGTGGCAGCTATTTTTCTCCCTAAAGATGAAATTCTTCAGTGGGACTTCATTAGATGGGAAAAACATCGTGGCAACAGGGCGTTCTCCACTGTGTGCTCTGCCTGTGAACCGGGCCCTTGAAGAGGGAGGGAGCACCAGGAGAGAGAAGGAAATGCTATTTCCCGTACCCCCCGCCCATCAAACACCCTTGGGTGCTTTGCACACTTACACTTTGTCCCCACAACAAAACAGTGGGGTGGATATTTTTAATTTCCATATCATCAAATATCTCAGTCTTTGCTTCTTCCTAACTATTGGGACAAGAATGTGCCAGAAAAAAAAAAATATATATATATATATAACAACTAAGCTTCTCAGTCTCCCTTGCAGCCAGGGGGTGACAGGTAGGGTGGGGGGGTCATTCAACTGGTGTGGATCCGGCCCATGAGATAATAGCAGAGTTCTCTGGATGTGACCTTTAAGAAAGCCCCTTCCCCGGGTCTGAGTTAGTTGGCATATGCCCCTTGACTCCCTTCATCCATCCTTCTGCCCTAGACCTCAAACTCTGTAGCTGAAGGTCTTGCAACCATCCAGAGAGAGGGGCAATCGAGGACACGCCTTGGACAGGGCACGTCAGAAAAGGAGGAAAGAGGGTAGCTCTAGATGGCGTATCTCCAGACTTCTGCGTGAGTGAAAAGAAATGATTTCTCACCAAAAACCAAGGGAAAAAAAAAAAAAAAAAAAAAAGATGTGCCGGTTAGGTCCAGCTCGTACTTGTACTTGACATTGGACAGAGTTAGTCTGTGTGGAAAGTACATATTTTCTGGGGACCTGAGGAAATGCCACTATATTGTGAAACAAACATGAAAGAATTACTTCGGGCCTGGAAATCCCTCTGAGACACGGAGAGCTGAGTGACCGTGATAAGAAAATTGACCAGGCCCACTGTGGGGCTGCCCTTTATCTCCTTCCTCTCCCTCCCCTGGAATTATAACAACAGGACTTTCACTAGGGCAAGTGACCGAAACCTACCGAGACTCAGGCAAACTCAGGCAAGCAAGCATGGTGCAGCTTGGGAAAAAAGCAAAACTCTGCTAATACTCGACTCAGCCCCCCAGTAAGACCAAACTGCATCCATGTATTCAAGTGGAAGATCTTTATTATACATGCCAAGAAATCTAGATCCTCCCTTTAGATATTTGTATTGAACTACTTCTGAGTTGGCCAGGAGATGTGTGAAATAGATTCTCTGGGCCTAAATAATGAGGCACTAAATTCTACTTGGTTTAGAATATTCTGGGGCACCTGGATGGCTCAGTCATTAAACGTCTGCCTTCGGCTCAGGTCGTGATCCCAGGGTCCTGGGATCGAGCCCCGGTGGGGGGCTCCCTGCTCAGCAGGGAGTCTGCTTCTCCCTCTCCCACTCCCCCTGCTTGTGTTCCCTCTCGAACTGTCTCTCTCTGTCAAATAAATAAATAAAATCTTAAAAAAAAAGAATATTCTATGAGTTCCATTCATTACAAGCATTGATTCTTCTGAGTGTTCTGTAAGGCATGTATATAAGCCTCTCTCTCTCTCTCTCTCTCTTTTTTTTTTTAAGGTAAACTTCCACTGTGGACTACCAGAAACCACCCGTATCCACCCTGGGTACCCTATAAATCACAAAGCCCTCCCTCAGTTCCAAATTTGGCGTGGCCTTTCTGGCTCTCTCCCTTTCATTTTTAAATAAGCAGCCTGACCTACATTCCGGAAAAAAAGGACTTTGGGTGCCACATACAGAAGGCGAGAACGGATGATGACACAGACACATAAACAGCCCTAGGGAGGTGCTTGGCAAATTCTCTGGAGAAGTTTCTCCGGGATAGGAGAAAGCTTGTAACAGACTCCGTTCCAATGACTCTGTGGACAGAGAGCAGGCAAGGCTTCCATTTTCCTGAAAAGGCAAAATCATTGTGTTGCCGGGAAACCATCATCTGTCTGCCTTGCTTTGGAGCTTTCCTCCAGTAACAAAAACCTTAGGACGCAGTGGATTCCCAAGTTCCTCTTGCGCAGAGCCTACTTTCCTAAAGCGACTTAACACAGTCCTCTTAGGACTGTGTGATTGGGTGATGACATTTGGCTGAGGGCAAGCCCCATCTGTCCCATCAGGTCACCCTGTGCTCCTTTCTTCGGGAGGGGCCACGCCTGTGGTTTGGGATCTTTTGTACAGAGTCTGGAGACTTCAGTTGACATAGCTGGGCGTTGTGAAGTTCACTAGATTCTTAGTTGCTGAATACCAAGTGGGGAGAATTTTTAAATAAACTGTTAAGTAAACGACTGCTGTTTGGTCACACTGATTTATGCTATTTTATAATAGCATTTATAAATTTATAAATACTGCAAAGTAAAAGAATACCGTATCTAGAGTCTATTGTCCCAAGAAAAAAGCAGCTGGACTGAGATGAAGGGTCCTCTAAATAAAAAAGGCAACCTGAGCTGGGTAATCACTGAACTCAGGCCCTTGATGCAAACTTTGGAGCCTCTGGAGGCTGCAGAGAAACAGGTTAGTCATTTTAAAGTTTTCAGCAAGCCCAGTGGATGAAAACCCAAACAGATTAAGTCCTGCTAAATTACACGGCCAAGGAATGCTTTTTCTCTATGCTATCATTTACCACAGGGGCCTATAAAACATCCTTAATCACTATCTAAATAACTTGAACTTGAGACAGAAAGAGCCCCAAGAGGTTTAGAGCCCGTGAAAACGTCTTTACAGAAGGTTATCAGAAACTGACAAATTTCCACATAAAATGTGTCAGCCACAAGCACTGTGCACTGTGAGTAAAGAAGGCTCTTTATTTGAATTAGAAGCACATATTAGAGATCAATTATTTATTCTGCTACTTATTGATTCTATCTGATACCAGTTTGTGTGGGAAAGGGGGGCTAGCTACAGGGGGCTGTTTAAGGGGGCAGGTTAAGGGCAGAGCTAGCCCCTACCAGCTGCCAATTCCAGAACCAAAGACCTTTCAGACATCAGAGAGGTATTAGTTCATTTAATCAGATTCTATTTTACGAACAAGGAAACCTCCAACTTTAGAGAGGCTATCAGCCCACAGAGACACAGCCAAGGAGAGGCAGCAGAAAGAAGAAAACATAACTGGACACCTGGGTGGCTCCGTTTGTTAAGTGACTGCCTTTGGCTCAGGTCATGATCCTGGAGTCCCAGGATCGAGTCCCACGTCGGGCTCCCTGCTGAGCCAGGGAGTCTGCTTCCCCCTCTGACCCTCCCTCTCTCGTGTGCTCTCTCTATCTCATTCTCTCTCTCAAATAAATAAATAAAATCTTTAAAAAAGAAAGAAAGAAAGAAAGAAGAAAGAAAGAAAGAAAGAAAGAAAGAAAGAAAGAAAGAAAGAAAGAAAGAAAGAAAGAAAGAAAGAAAGAAAGAAAGAAAGAAAAAGAAAGAAAGGAAAACATAACTATCAATGCCCAGGGCTCTTTCTGAATAGACAGTGAGCAGTTCTGATGCTGCCTGAGGTTGAGCTATTTTCATTCTGTAACATGAAATGGGAAAAGCGATCATTCCAAGACCCTTTGTCAAATAGAAGCTCATTATTTTCTAGAAGTGCTTCTTCTGAACTGAACTGTTAATTGGTCATTGGTTATTTAGAGAGACTGGAGAGTGAGCAAGGAAAAAAAAAAGGTGAGAAACAGCCCATAAGAGCCACGATGTGAACTGTTAATTGGTCATTGGTTATTTAGAGAGACTGGAGAGTGAGCAAGGGAAAAAAAAAAAAAAAGGTGAAAAACAGCCCATAAGAGCCACGATGAGTGAGGATAATCTTCTCCAAGATGTAAACAAAAATGATTGCATTAAAAAGTCTTCCTCTTTCCAGGGCCATGCTAAGGCAGAGTGGGGCAATCTGCTGTGCACTAATCCACTGTCACCAAGCTTTTCGCCTTGGAAGCAGGAACCTTTAGTCCTCTAGCAGGGCTGGCCTTAGGGAATAAACAAACACAACGTGGAGTGGGATTTTTCATCCTTTACACGGACAGCGTGGCTTTTGAGGCAGGACCTACAAGGAAAGGGGGCCAACCTGAGAGAGTTATATAGATCTGAGCTGACAGTGTTTGGTCATCTTACTAACTGTGCAATTTGGAACAACCTGGGTAGCATTTCTGATTCTTAGTTCCCTACCCTAGAGTTTTTCCTGCTGTATTAAGCTGTCATTAAGAGTGCAGGCTTAAGAACCAGACTGCCTAGGTTTAGATCTCATCTCTACTATGTTCTTGCTATGTGACTTTGGGCAATTTACATCATCTCTCTGTGCTCCAGTTTTCTCAGCTATGAAGTGAGGAAAATAATAGAACCCACCTCACAGTTGTTGCAAGGATTAAGTGCAGTAACATTTGTAAAATGCTCACAACAGTATCTGGCACATGATGAGGGCTAATAAAGTGCAAGCTATGGTGGCTAGTGGCAAACTCTTCATCTCTTTTAGGGTTTTGTTAATTAATTTACATCCCTTGACTCTTGACATTGACTCAAGCCCCTTCCCTCACCAAAAAAAGAAGAAAAAAGAAACAAAAGGTATTAAAAGGAGCATGTAGTAGAAAGAATATAAATTATTCCCCTCCAAATGTAAATGGTATGTGTCCTGTCTTACCAAAACCACTTTGGATTACGTAAACCACACTTCCTCTCCATTGTGTGAGGCATCAGGATTGAGTAAAATGGTGCTTTGAGAATAAAAATAC